CACACACACACACACACACACACACACACACACACACACACACACACGCACGTTACCCTCAAGGAGTTTCTGTTCCAGTAAAATCATACATAACCTATGTAGGGCAAGATAGAAAAGTCTGGAGGGGAGGAGCCAGGAGAGAAGTGAGCATGGATGGCCCATGCATTTCCTCAAATGGTGGTTCTAATCAAGAACTCACTAATAGGAGAAGGGGGCCACCAGGGCAGAGGCATCTCCAGAATGAGTAGCCTGCCGGGGTTGAGATAGAAAAGTCCAGAGAGTCGGGAGTGGGCCAATGAGGGGGCAGCTAAATTCCTGAGGAGGAATCAGCTGCAGAGGAGGAGTTCAGTGCCTCCTCACCTACCCCTGCTTTACCAGAGGAGAACCCTAGTGGATTTCGGAAATCTGGAGAACTTCCCAACTTCCCACGGACATCCTCACGGCATTCTTGGATCAAACAATGGCTGAGTCTGCATCAGGAGCCAAAGGCAGACTGGATGCCAATTCAAGGTGCTACCAAGAGCTCTGCAGACAAACTGCACCACACCTAAGAGGGACCATCTTGAGGATCCAGTGAAAGGACTCCCAGAGTTACCCCTTTACTATATGTGTCCTCTAAACTTGAGGCCACGTTCCCATGGATTCTGTGGATGCTCGTAGGAGAGTGTGCTGTGGACGTTTTGGAAGGGACAAGGAGGAGATTTGTATCGATTGTTCTTAAGATACTGTGAAAATTGACTTGTTGCTGGGCTTTAGCTGATGCCATATTTGACCACTGATTCACCTGCCTATGTTGTGGGAAGTTCCTTTGTACGGAGCAGCTGATTTAATCCAGAGGTATCAGACTCATCCACCCTAGAGTAGAGGAACCATCTTAAAATGTAATTGGGAAATGTTTAAGAAAATAAATATACAATATAACATAGATGATGTTAATCTGTGGTTTTCTAAATCAAAATGGGGCATAAATCCATTTCCATTTGAGTTTGACACCTCTAGTTCGAACCAGCTTCATTTAGACTCTCTTAATCATAATCAGTTTAGCAAACATCATCTAATCCCTACTGAGGGTTAGCAAATGTTCTTAATCCCAATGCCCCTGGGGTTGCTAAGGGGCATTGTGGTTCTGGTCACTCACTGATTGGCTGTCCCTAACATCCCTCCCTCACTGGGTCCCTGTGAATCTGCCCCACAAGGTCAATCAGATAGAAGGACAAAGACCCAGAGTTCTGTACTCTAGACTGAGTACAAGGCCCACCTTATGCCCACACCACCGGTGCCCAGGCTTTTCTAGGAAACTAAAGGGCTGAGGACCCAAGTGCTTGCATTCCTCTGATTAATAACTGCATTGCTTGTGATTGTGGGGCACTTCTGATCTTTCTTGGGAATCTCCCAAGATCTCCTCACAAACTGGCTGTTCCTTCATTCTTGAAGAGGACCCAAATGACATCACTCTGCGAGAATCAAGTTACATTGTGTCCAACTGGGGCTGATCAGACCAATATGAGCTTGGAATGTTCTACCACAGGTCGGGCACAAATAGTCCATGGGAACATTTGGGGTGGATTCTCTCCATCTCTGCATCTCGTGTTTCTTTTGAGCTCCTTCAATTCTGCTTTGCACATAGAGCACAGCACCTTCTCTGATGTGGGCACGCCATGCTGAGCGGTCCTGTGCCAGTGTCTCCCATGTCACACAATCAATTCCAAAATTCTTGAGAGAGACCTTGAGAGTGTCCTTGTATCGCTTCTTCTGACCATGTGAATGCTTGCCATGTGTGAGTTTTCCATAAAATAGTCTTTTTGGCAAGCATTCCAACAACATGGCCAACCTATCAGAGTTGCGCTCTCTGCAGTAGAGTTTGAATGCTTGGCAGTTTAGTTCTAGAAGGGACCTCAGCGTCTGGTACCTTATCCTGCCAGGTGATCTTCAGAATCTTCCCAAGACAATTCAAATGGAAGTGACTCAGTTTCCTGGCATGGTTCTGGTATACTGTCCAGGTTCCACAGGTATATAACAATGACGTCAGCACAACAGGAAGATTCATCTTCCTGAGCTCAAATCTGGCCTCAGACACTTCCTAGCTATGTGACCTCAGGCAAGTTACTTCACCCTGTTTGCCTCAGTTTCCTCATCTATGAAATGAGCTAGAGAAGGAAATGGCAAACCACTCCAGTATCTTTGCCACAGAAACCCTAAAAGGGGTCATGAACAGTCTAACACGACTGAACAACAATTCTGTTACATTCCTTTGCTATAATTTGCTTGTCCATTCACCAAGTGATGGGTACCTCCTCACAAATAACACCTTAGCAAATAAATACTTCATCCTATAAGTATAGCTGACTAATCGACGGCAGCCGACGATCACGTTGAGAAGCCCACCAGAATTGAGGTTTCAGAAGATATCTGTATTAGGGGCATCTTCTTAGGAGTTTCAGGAGGGCACACTTGGTGTTACCTAATTTTTTTTTTCCAGTGAGTCAATTGGGGTTAAGTGACTTGCCCAGAGTCACACAGCTAGTGAGTGTCATGTGTCTGAGGTCGGATTTGAACTCAGGTTCTCCTGACTTCAGGGCAGGTGTTCTATCCACTGCCACCTAGCTGCCCCTGTTACCTAAATTTTGCATCCTCCCTAGACACCACATGGTGCCTTGCATACAGTAAGTTATTAAGAAATGATTGTTGAATGACTGCATCCGCAGTCATCAGCTTAGAAAACAGGCCCTCACATGGCTTTAGTGTTCCAGTGTGCCCTAGGAGGTCAATAAGATGGGCCTCTGAAGTCAGGAAAACTTTGATCACGAAAGTAAGAGTTGAAGTTGGCTTTGAAGAAACGTACAAAATTTGGAGGGGCCCGGAGGAAGCCAGAGGTCATTCCAAGATAGATTAGAAATTTGTTAGTTAACTCGAGATGAAGGAGGGAAGGGCTAAAGAGCAGATTCTCAAATTCCTAAGGGGATAAGTCATTTGCTTTCATAAGGGGTGGATCTCACAGAGAGTTTCTCTCTAAAACTAGCATTATTCTGCACAGCATGGAGCCCATCTGTGGATCTACTTGGGCTGAGAGCTGTCTGAAGGGAGGTGGAGAGACTGGGAGACAGATGGGAGGAAACCCCCTCCCCTGCACATTTGGTACTTGATTTCCCAGACTGTTAGATGCACCACATTGGAGTGCGGTGGAGGCTAGGGAGTGGGTGGTTGGGTTTTCACAGTGAAATGGAGTTTTTCTGGGACTTCTCACAGTTTTCTCATAAGCTGTCTGAGCACTGCAGTCTAATATTGGGTGAAAGGAATAGGCTATTATGACAGAGACACAGCTATTATGGATGTTTTCAAAGGCCAGGGCATCCTAGGAGAATCATGTCATGGTGGAAAGAAAAATAGTTGCTGAGCCAAAGGACCAGGATTCAAGTCCTAGCTCTGAAACTGACTTTGGGCAAGTCACTGAACCTCCCAAGTCACTGGGCTTCCGTTTCCCCATCTGTAAAATGAGGGGGTTGGCCTCTGAGGTCACTTAC